TTTTTCTTTTATTTTTTCTCGATCTTTCTTAACCACATTTTGAACAGTCTGAAAAGCCACTGCGATATTGCTACTTGACATGCCGTTTTATTCAACTAATTACTGCAGCGACATTCCAGTTTTTCTGCTGCTAAAAAAAATAACGCTAGACAGAAAGAAATATTGTTGAAATAAAAATAAAACAAAACTAGCTTTGATATAACAGGGTTCGATTTCAACTTTATCAAGATGTGCGTCAATCGTTAAGTTGCATGAAATATATTTATTTAAAAAAAACTCCCATCGGAAAGAATTTATGACCAACTCTTAAAAGCCTCACTTGATTATTTTAACAGCTTGTAAGATACGTTAAAAATAAAATGGATTTTTCAACAGATATGTTCCTGAAAACGAGATACGTTCAACTTAGAGAAATAAAGAAGAAAAAAAAGAAGGGAGTGCTTTTTTTCAATTTATGAAAATAAGTAGCGAAGGTCATTTGTTTCACGATTATAAATAATAAGTAAAAAAGCTGCTGCATAATAAAATTCCTTAAAATAATAAAAATTCCATAATTTTTTAAGATTCATTTTGTTTAATATATACGGTTTACCGGTAAATTATGTCCGCAAAACTATGCAAAAGGTTCTTTTATGAAACGGGAAAAAAAGTAGTAGGGATTTAACCTTGAAGGTATATGTTATTGTGAATGACAGAAATAAGTGGCTGTTGACTTCCACCCGTGAATGTTGACAATTACATAGTCTGAATAAATTAATATCAATTCGGATATAACAAATATTTCGGACATTCACCAAAGCAACTATGTAATTGTTGACATTCGCCGGTGAAAGTCGACATTCTCTTGATTTTGGTAATTCACGGTAACATATATATCAGATGTAGATCTGTACGATACAAGTTTGAATCTATATGCACTTGCTCTATATATGCTGTATCTCTTTAATCTAGAACAGTAGTCTCTAACCCCTGGGCCGTAGACCAAATGGTAACGGGCCGCAACATTAAACAATTTCCATTTTATTAATCTCTGGCTTGTACGACTTTTCATAGACGAAGGATTAACCGAGAGCTCAGAGCTTCTAGCAGCACCAATAGAACATTCTATTTTATTTTGAAGGTACGTTTAAATATAATTAAATCGAAACAATATAAACGATCGACGTTCCTCCCCCTTCCTCAGCGGGCCGCAATAAAACTATCAAATGTTGACCGGCCTACGGTGAAAAAAAGGTTGAGGAGCATTGATCTAGAACAGGGGTTCCTAGAAAGCGTTCCGCGGAGCCTTTGGGTTCCACTGAAGGGTCACAAGAGTTACGAAAGTTAGAACTTTTCTTAGCAGATGGTATTTGAAACCTTTAATTACATTTATATAAAATTGAAAACCCAATATTAATTCTATTGGTGAAATTATTTA